GAGCTGCGCCGATCCAAAGCCAGGAGCCAGGAGCTTCTTCCTGGTCTCTCACATGGGTGCAGGAGCCCAAGGACTTGGGCCATCTTCCATTGCTTTCCCAGGCCATAGCAGAGAGCTGGATCGGAAGAGGAACAGCCGGGATCAGAACTGGCGCCCATATGGGATGCCGGCACTTCAGGCCAGGGCTTTAACCCACTGTGCCACAGTGCCAGCCCTACGTCCAATTTCCAGTTCTTGTTTGGGAGACAGACAGAGAGCAAGAGAACTCTCATCTACTGCTCATTTGCCAGTGCCTGCAAAGACTGGGGCTGAGCCAGGGCCAAACCTGGAAGCCTGGAATTTAACCATGGATTGAAAATACTTGAAAAAAAAAATATTGCATCTGCAGGCTTTTGTCATTATTCCCTGAACAACACAGTGCAACAACTATTTACATAGCACTTCCGCTATGCTAGTAATCTGCAGATGATTTAAAGACTATGGGGGGATAAGCACAGGTTACGTGCAGACACTGTGTCATTTCCCACAGGCGACTGGAACATCCTTGGATTTTGGTGCCTGCTAGGGAGAGGGGTGGTTGTGGCCCCAGTTCCACAAGGAGGCCAAATGATGACTGCACCTTGTTTTCCAGCTCATCTGACCAGAGAAGCCATGTTTGAGGACCACTCTGGGGGACTGGTGTCCCACAGATCATCCTTTGGGAAAGGCTCTGTGCAGTTGTTATTCCTGAACACCCCAGAGAGTCAGAGGAGCAGTGGACGCTGTGAGAAGGACAGCCCGCAGAGAGAACGCGTCAGCCAAGGGTGACTTTCACTTCCCACAAGATTCATGGGGCCCTACCCGGGCTCAGATCTTCTGCCACCACCCCCTCTCCAAACAAGGGCCTCGCCACACCGAGTGCAGGGGAGGTGGGGACAGGGACCTGTCAGGAAGACACATCAAATCTGTGAAAGCCCTCAGCCCCGTCCCACAGCAAAGGAACTGGATATCCGAGTTAGCTACCTTCACTCAACTATTACTTCTCCCAACCACTGGTCAGACATTGTGGGAATAAAGGCTTTCTGGGTTTTATTTTTTATTAAGAAAAAACTCACATAGAATAAACCATTTTCAGGAGAACAGTTCAGAGGCACAGAGTACATCTAATGTTGTTGCCGGCACTGCAGCTCACTAGGCTAATCCTCCGCCTTGTGGCGCCAGCACACCGGGTTCTAGTCCCGGTCTGGGTGCCGGATTCTGTCCCGGTTGCCCCTCTTCCAGGCCAGCTCTCTGCTGTGGCCAAGGAAGGCAGTGGAGGATGGCCCAAGTACTTGGGCCCTGCACCCCATGGGAGACCAGGAGAAGTACCTGGCTCCTGCCATCGGATCAGCATGGTGCGCCTGCCGCAGCGCGCCGGCCGTGGCGGCCATTGGAGGGTGAAACGACAGCAAAGGAAGACCTTTCTCTCTGTCTCTCTCTCTCACTGTCCACTCTGCCTGTCAAAAAAAAAAAAAAATGTTGTGCCACCTCCCTATCTTTCTACATCCAGAACATTTTCACCACCGCAATAAAACATCTCATTGGAGAGCCGCCACCCCCGTCACTGTCATCCATCTCTCTGTCTCTGGTAGCCACCAATCAGATTTCCCTTTTGACAGCCTTTCCTGTTTTGTGTATTTCATACAACTGGAGTCATCTAGCTTCCTTTGCATCTAGCTTCTTTCAAATAGTACAATTTTTTTAGGCTCATCTACATTGCAGCAGGTACATCATCCTTTTTTATACTTGGTGGAATGGATAGACCACAATGCGTTTAGTCACTCATCCACCTTTTGGCTACTGTGACTACTGCTGCTATGAAGATTCCTGGCAAAGTGGTTTGTGTCAGTTCACCTGGAGATATATCTAGGAGTGGCATTGCTGGGTCACAGAAATAAAACTTTGCAGCTATAATTTTGTGGGACCCTAAGGCAAGTAAATTATTCTTATGGGGGTGAACGTTTGGTGCAGTGGTTGACGCCTCTTGGGAGGCCCATACCACATAGCAGAGTGCTTGGGTTCGAGTCCCCACTCTACTGCAGATTCCACCTTCCTTCTAATGCACACCCTGGTGGGCAGTGGTGACTTCAGGCATTTGGGAGTGCCAGTGGGTAGGAGCACACTCTGCTTCTCAAATTTAAAAAACTGTTTTTAAGCAGGTCCTGATTTAGCTAGCTTGAGACATAATTTCTAAAGCATTTGACAATGGGGCATATAAAATGCATTACCCTCAGAAAGTTTAGAGAATGACTTACGAAGCAAGTTTCTCTACACAAAAACCCTTATTTCTCCCACGAGTAACTGTGCATTTTTAGTGAGCCATTTGACTGCCAGTTACTCAGCTCCATAGAATGTCTGTTGTCTTCTCAGCCAATAAGAGTTCAACAAAGACAATCAGTAGAGGTGCCTTTTGGCAGCTCCATTATTGGGAGGTGTCGTACTCATGTGAAGGCCGCAAATAATGGGGAAAAGGTGACATCAGCACTAGATCAGCGATTCTGGAAAGGTTCTGAAACATCCAGGGTTTTTTGACGGTCAACTGAAGTGCTTCGTTTGAGCGTCAGCCTCTGAGAAGAGCTAATTATTGATGGGAGAGTGTTGGGTAGACGGAACACATGAGTTCCATGCATGTTAATTAAGCAGCAAACTCAAGCATGGCTCTCACTTTCTATAAATATTTCCAAATGTTCAGGCTTGGCTTCATTCCAAAGCCATTATTCTTCTGGGGGCCTGCTGAAAACTCTTGGCTCTCGGCTAATTAATATATGGGATACCAGGAACTTACTGAGTTTAAATTTCTTTCTAAGAAGAAAAGAATGAGGTCTATACCCAAGAAATTTTCAAGTAAATCTGCATTCTAGTTTAAACTGGTATTATTTATATCACTTCTACTTTTGGCAGCAGATACACGCAGCAAGATGCTTCCTTTCCATTTTAATTGAAGCTGAAGTCCAAGTGTTACCATTCGTGAATTTACAAGCTGAGGAAATGAATCTATTAACTCCGGTAGCTTGTTAGACTTTAACATTAGAAGTAGTAAAGTTGGGGGCTAGCACATCTCCATCTAACATAGCTGTGGTAAATGAAAGAGAGATTGCTGACTCTGTATTTCCAGGGACTTTTTGAAGTGGTAGGCAGCGAGACCTGCAATGCACACATGGTCCTAGAATGCACGGTGGGCCCTCCCCCAAACCAGACTGAGAAAGTTCACTTGTGTTCATGGACAGCTCTAAATGCAAAGAGGGAACATCAGCACAGGTGTCATGCGGGTCGGCGGGCGTGAGCGTCTCAGGGAGACGTGACAGCAGGGTTGGCACCGTCTGGCCTGATTATCTGTCTGATTCATGTGCTGGCAAGCAGCACTGCTTGGGAAATGTGTTTGCTGTTTGTTTTCTCATTGAGCAATTTATTTAGTCATCACCTTCTTTGTATTCTCCTTTAGATCTGTAGATGCTGAGCCCAAATTCTGTAAGGTAGGAATTTTTTGTTCCAAATTTTTACAGGATATGTATTTTAATAGTGTATACAGTTTGAGATAATAAAACCAATAAAAGAATACATGCTCAATGTGGAAAAACACAAAAGGATACAGAAAAAAAATGTAAATATTTTCTGTTCCATATGGTCCCCTACCTCCCACCTCTCTATGTCCCTTCCTGCAGCAAAGCACAGCTGTCAGCCTTGGTACACACCTTTCCCGGGTGAATAATTACAGCAGCAGGTACAGGGTCATAGAAGGATATCATTTACTAAGCACTAAACAATAACTACTTTTCCGGGTTACTCTCAAATCAAGAATACAGGTTATCTGGGGGTGGGTGTTTGGCGACACAGTTAAGATGCTGTGTTCCACATGGGAAGGCCTGGGTTTGAAATGTAGCTCTGACTCTGGCTCCTGACTCCAGCTTCCTGCTAAGGCAGGGAGCAGGAACCCTGGGAGGCAGTGGGGATGCCTGAAGTGATAGCGTCTGTGCCATCCACATGGGAGACCTGGATTTGATTCCTTGGCTCGTGGCTTCCACTGACCCAGCCCCAACCACTATGGGCAATTGAGGAGTGAATGAGAGAGTGCAAGCTTGCTCTCTCTCTCTCTCTCTCTCTGCTTCTCAAAGAAATAAAGAAAATAGGATGTCTGTAAAACAGCCTAAGAAGTTACTGCCTACTGGAATTTCAATGCGTTCCTTTGTTCTCTGTTTGTGATTTCATATATGCTGGCGTGCTTCCCTGCCATGTGACAGACTGTAAGCTGGAAGGAGACATACTACAAATACAATGATGGCTGGTAAAATTTGCAAAGGATATGCTAATGTATGAGTCTGAATTTTAAAATCTTAAATCCGAACTTAAGAACAAGTGCCTCTCAGTAAATCTTGGGAAGCTGGGGGAAAAATCCCAGGGAAAGAAGGGCTTGGGGGCCTGTGTGAAGTAGGGGAGATGGCGACTCTGGCTCAAATAATTGGCAAGTGTTTGATTCCCCGATGCTGCAGTGAGCCTTGTAGTTATACAGGAACGTAAGGTGTGGCCCCTGCCCCCAAAGGGTTTGCCATCCGAGAAACCAGACGAGCCAGAGTGGGATCAGATAAGACAGGGCTTGCACAAGAACCTGGATTTGGAAAAGTCACGAACAAAGGAGCCTCCACTGGTTTAGACAGAAAGGAGGAGCGTGATAAAGTCGAATGGAAGCTGTTGGCATTCGTCCACTCCCTTCTGTCCCCGCTTTTCCACCTGGCTCGGGCTCTTAGGACCTTGCCACACTCTGCCATCCCCCCCACCCTCTCCCAGCCCCAAGGCTGACCTGCCCAAGGCGCAGGAGGGCTCCAAAGCCACAAGTGACTCTCCTCTCATCACCCCACGTTCTCAACCGATGCAAAATTCAAGGCCCTCCTACAGATTCTGTTCACCCCCTCCCAGACTTGTGTCCAGGTTCCTTAAAGGAGCTCTGCTCTACTGAAATTGAACCACTCACCATTTCCCAAACCCACCTCTGTGCTGGCCTCGTGGGATTCCCATCCTCCTCTTGAGCTGCCTAAACCTCTTCTCCAACTCCACAGAGAAGCAGTCAGAGAAACCAGCCCTGGAAAAACAACACCAACATAAAGGCCTGAGCGCATGCAGGTGCTGGCTCCCGCTGTTACCAAGGCCCTGGCGAACGTCTCACTTCAAGTTTCACAGACACTCGCATAAGTCTTACATCCCAAACCACCCCAGCACTGAAATAAAAGATTCGGAGGAAATGCAGACAGTTTATGTGGAGAGCACTGTGGTTAATCACACAACAGTATTTTGAGTGTTTCAAAGGCTTCCAGCTCCCAAAGCATTTTGCTATGCCTGCCTTATTTAAATGAGTACATCATCGAAATGATATTGTATCATGACTGTTGCAGTAATCTGGGTGTGAGAGGGTGAAGAAGAAGGGGCAGGGTGGGGAGCGTGGGAATGGAGAGGAGGTGGTGACTGCACAGGGAGCTGGGTTCTCTGCTGTACAACACCTCTGGGCTCCAGTCCCCACCCTCGCCATTGCAGGCATTTATGGAGTAAACCAGCAGATGGGAGCTCTGTGTTCTCAGCCTCTTAAAAGCAAAGATTAAAAGGGGCAGCATTGCCACAGGTAGAGGATTAGCCTATTGAGCTGCGGCGCCGGCACCCCGGGTTCTAGTCCCGGTCGGGGCGCCGGATTCTGTCCCGGTTGCCCCTCTTCCAGGCCAGCTCTCTGCTGTGGCCAGGGAGTGCAGTGGAGGATGGCCCAAGCGCTTGGGGGCTGCACCCGCATGGGAGACCAGGAGAAGCTCCTGGCTTTGGATCAGTGCGCTGCGCTGCCGGCAGCGGCGGCCATTGGAGGGTGAACCAATGGCAAAGGAAGACCTTTCTCTCTGTCTCTCTCTCACTGTCCACTCTGCCTGCAGCATTTATGAATACGCAAGCTCTATTTTTAAGTTTCTTTTGCTGCAAAAAATATTTAAATCCATGCATAGCTTTCTCATAACATACATTTCCATAAACTTCTTGAGTACCTCTGTGTGCAGAGTGTAAACTTTTTTGCACCAAAATAAACGTTTCTTTAAAAAAAAAGATTTATTTATTTAAAAGACAGTTATAGAGAGGTAGATAGAGTTCTTCCATCCACTGATTCACTCCCCAAATGACCACGATGGCGGGGCTGGGCCAGGCCAAAGCCAGGAGCATGGAACCCTATCTGGGTCTCTCGTGTGGGTGGCAGAGGCCCAAGGACTTGGGCCATCTTCTGCTGTCTCCCAGGTGCATTAGCAGACAGCTGGATCAGAAGTGGAGAAGCTGCAACTCAAACTGGTAGCATCTCACAGTGGTGCTGGGCCACAATAATGGCCCACAAAATAAACGGCTAAGTTCAATTTTCCTCGGATTTTGTGAAGTACCATCATACATTATTAATAATATATAATACTATCATCATGATCCACTATTATAAATATATATACATGCATATTATGTAATTATATATTAATTTACATATATAATTGTGTCTGTGTGCACCCAAAACTTCGTAATGATGCAATAGCAAAACTTTAAAGATCACTAGCATTTGGCAGAAATCTGATTTCATTAGCTTCATTATCAAGTGACTGAAAGCTGGAATCATTATTTCATAATATAGACGAGACAGAGACTGCATTTGAAAGTGATTATTAATAAGTGCTTTTATCTGGAGCACTTTATATGAAATTGTGAGAAATTTGGAAAACAGCACCCGGCGATGCCCTTACATGCAGACCCTGCGGCTCAGTCTCTGCAAATTGCAACCTGCGGCGAGTTCGTGAAGCTCCTGTCCCAAGTCTCCTTGACTGAAGCTGAGCATGATCCCAGCATTTTCCACAGAGGGCTGCTTTCAGGATTTAATGCACTGATGCACACCTGGATAAGAATCCAGACTGGTGCCTGGCATTTAATAAGTGCTCGGTGAATGTTAGCTAATATTAACCAGGCTTTGGTTACATTTTGAAAAAACAAACATAGAAACAGAACTAACCTTGGGGCTCTGTTTGGGCAGCAGTTAGGTCGATGCTTAGGGTGCCCGCAACCCACACCAAAGTCCCTGGGTTCCAGCCCCGACCCGGCTTTGGATCCAGCTTCCTGCTGAAGCACATCCTGGGAGGCAGCAGGGGTGACTCAAGCCCCTGGGTCCCTGCCACTTGCATGGGGCACCTGGACTGCGTTCTGGGCTCCTGGCATTGGCCTGGACCGACCTTGCTGCTGGGGGCATTTGGGGAATGAACCAGTAGATGGAAGATCGAACTCTCTCTCTCTCTCTGCCTTTCAAATATAGTAAATAAAAACACAAAACTATCCTTGCTTCCTACTGCCCCTTGCTGGCCAACAGGAGTCAGTGCCCCATGTGATATACGGGGAAGACAGATGCCTGGGTAAGGCTAAATTCTCAGTGTTCAAGGAGATATCAATATGTAACTTCAGAGAGCTTTGCAAAATATTGTGGAGAAAATCAATTGAAATTAAGTACAGATAGAAAGAAGAAATTAAATACCTTTAAATATAATAAAATAATGCATTTTAGATATTTAGAAAACAGGACATTTTAAATGGTAGTGCTGGGAAGCAGAGGCCATGAAAAGTATGGTGAAATAGAGCAGGGTTGGCCAAGCCAAGCAGCTTGCTCTCCGAAACAACCAAGGACGCACTTAAGTTTTATATATATATATATATTTTTTTTTTTTTTTGAAAGGCAGAGAGAGAGAGAGAGAAGTAAGTCTTCCATTGCTGGTTGACATCTGAAGGCAGGGACGGTGGCATGACTATTCCTATTTGTATATCATGGAATAACAATGCTTGCTTATTGAGTGCTCACTCTCTGCCTGGCACTTTCTATATATCACTTTTTCAACTTTTTTTTTAATTTGAAAGGTAGAGTTACAAAAAGAGAGGGAGAGACAAAGAGAGAGGTCTTCTATCTAGTGGTTCACTTCCCAGATGGCTACAATGGCCGGGCTGGGTCAGGCCAAAGCCAGGAGCTTCATCTAGGTCTCCCACATGGGTGGCAGGAGCCCAACCACTTGGACCATCTTCGGGTGCTTTTCCCAGGCACATTAGCAGGGAGCTGGATCAGAAGTAGAGCAGCCGGGACTCTAACAGGCACCCATATGGGATGCCAGTGTCGCAGGCAGCAGCTTTATGCACTACACCACAATGCTGGCCCCATAGTTTTTAACTTTTTAACATGAAAACATTTAAACATAGAATAGATGGAGTAATATAATAAACTCCCATATCCACATCACTCCATTTAATATTATTTTCTGTGTTTTTACTTTTGTGAATTATTTTAAAATATAGATATTATGTATTTCACCCTAAAACACACCAGGATATCTAAAAATAGACATACACATTTCTACGTAAGTGCAATACCATTATCACACTTAATAAGCTGCCTAATATCATATACTACCCCAGTGCAAATTCAAATTTCTTCCATTGTTCCTAAAATATCTCTTATATCCGGTTTGTGAAACCAAGATTAACCAAGGACAAGCCATTGCACCTGGTCACCACGTCTCTGAAGTTTGTTTTAAGCTAGAACAGCCATCCCTCGGTGCCGGTGCCGCATTTTTTTTCTTTTTTCTTTTTTTAAATGACAATGACTTAAGAGCCTGGATCCATCTGGTCCATCATTTGTTGTGGGTTTTTCTGATTCTTCGACCCTTGCATTTCCTGAGGGAAAAAAGAGGGAATTAAAGGCTTGATTGGGTTGTGATTATGGATTTTTGGAAACATACTTTATAGATGAAGCTGGAGCTTTCTATCAGGAGACAGCGTTTTAGTGGTGATAAGACTGTTCTAGGTTCAGGTGGGAGAACGGGACTTCTTCATAGTCCCCGCCGCACCCCACTGTCCAGCAGTTACTCTGAGGGAGAATGTGGCGTCCTGTGAGTATCCTGCTTCCCAGCGCCCTTTCACCACATCGGTGACGCTGGCATGAAGCCATTATGCCACCGGGTGGGCGCTGGACACGATGGCTAAGATGCCACGTGGGATGCTGGCATCCCAAAACACAGTGCTGAGGAAGCAGAGGCTTCCGGGTCCAGCCTCCTGCTAATGTGCACCGTGAGAGGCAGCAAGGAATGACTCCAGTGCTGGGGTCTCTGCCACCGTGTGGGAGACCAGGATGGAGTTCCTGGCTCCTGGCTGTGGTTGCCCCCAGCCCCGGCTGTTGAATCTGCCTTGTGTTTTTTTTTTTTTTTCTCTCTCTCTCTCTCTAATACACTTTTAAATGGTGATTTTCTAAGTCTTGCATTCATTTCACATTATTTCGCTGTCACTATTTTGCCAGGTGAGCTGCTTGCTCATCAGCCAGATTACCCTGAAATACACCTGCTGCTAGGAGGCAGAATAATTATTATGTGACATTACTGTCAGCGTGAAGCGTCCGTGCCATTGTCACCGCCGGCCCTGTAGCAACTGAGGTTTAATTTTGTGTTTGTTGTTTGGCTGCCTCTTCACTATTACCGTTTTTGCAGTCTGCAGCCCTGGCTGCCTTCCCTGCTCTGGTTGGTGTGATTTTCCGGGTGTCCCTCAAGCTGGCTTCGGAAAGGACCTGGACTTTCCCGGGGCTGTCACCGCTCCCGGGCTCCGGGTTCACATCTCCAGTCCGAAATTAACTACACAGGCGTGTGTACTCGCAGTCACGGCTTCCATCAAGACCCCTGTCCCCCGGGGTACTAATGGCCAGAGCCGGGATTTGAGCCCGGGCACAGCGCTTCCTCAGGGGAGGAAGCCGCGGGCCTCGCCAGGGGCTTCTCCAGGCTGCAAGCGTCCTTAGGGCGTCAGACTGGCGATCGGGGCCGGAGACGCGGGAACCGACGGGTGGGGTGGACACTCGGACCTTTCCCGACAGACTCCCACTAAGCAGGAGGACTGCCGCGTGAGGGACCCCGTCGGTGGCGTGGCCAGGCCCGCGGCCCCACCTTGGATCTGGCCAGAGACCCGTAAAGAGCAGAAACTGCCGCACAATACCACGCGCCCAGTCCAAGGCGAGAAAGCACCCGCGCGCCGCGACCCTCGGCCCGAGTCCACAGAGTCCGACCCGCTTCCGCGTAGCACCCACCAATCAGAGAGAGCCTTGAGCAAGGGGGGCGGGTCGTCGGGAGAGCGTACCCAATGAAGAATCAGGCCCCGGTCGCATCAGGACACGGTATTTAGTGTCCCGGCGGAGGGCGGAGAGCAGGAGGTGGGGCTTGACCAATCAAAGGGGGCGACCCACGTTGGTGGGGCGGCAGCCAATCAGAAGGGAGCTCGCTCTCGACTCGCCCGACCCACATTTTCCGCCTTTTCTGGGGCCGGCGGCGGCGACGCTGCTGTTGCTGGGCTGGGGTCGCCGGCCGCTGCGCTGCTCTCGCTCTCCGCTCCTAACGCTTCTGCTCTCAGCCCCCGAGGCGTGCGGGCGTGTGGCGGGGCATGGCGGACTCGGGCTGCGATGACGGCTCGGGCCAGGGGGAGGACACTTTCCTATACTTCGCGTATGGTAGCAACCTGCTGACCGAGAGGATCCACCTCCGAAATCCCTCGGCCACGTTCTGCTGCGTGGCCCGCCTGCAGGTCAGTGTACCCCGGCGGGTCCTGCGGCCTCGTGCCCGCGGTGCACACGCCCAAGCCAGGGCCGCCGCAATCGCATCTTCGGGGGCAGGACGGGCCGGGAATGCAGCTCCGCCTGGTGAGGACGCGTCGGGCTTCTGGGGTGCCACCTCGTCCGGGGCCCTCACCATCCTGTGCTTGACCCCAGGGCGGCAGCGGCGCCTGAGAATGCCCTGAGCTGCCCGCTCCTGGCGCACCCACCTGCGGCCGGTTCTGCCCCTCTGCGGCCTCCTCTCCCTTGTCCACTAACTTAGGAACATCCTCCCAGGACCCGTCCCGCGGGTACTCCTGTACCACGACTTGTCACCAGGTATCGTAGAATATCTGCATATCTGTCTCTCCTGAGCTGGCAGGTCCTGCACTGTACCTCCTCCCTGAGGGCAGGCGGGTGGGTGAACCTCCAGCTGTTGCTCTTGGTCCGTGCAGTGCAGCCTTTAGCACTCCTGTTGCAGCACGGAACACTGAACAAACCCGACTGAGCGAAGTCGCTGCTTTGGGGTCTCCCACTCTGTAGGAGACATGTGCAAACAGGTTGCGCACAAAACCTTCTGACAGCTTTGACCTAGACAAAAGTGATCTCTGCTAAGCTCATCAGAGTTCTTAGTTCCAAGCAACAGAAACTGGCTGATTGAAGCAAAAAGAGAGGACAGAAACGTGTCGAAAGGCTGCTGGAGAGGTCACAGTGACCAGGAAGGCAGGGGTACAATGTGGACAGAGAGGCAGGCGGAGAGAAGGGTGCACAGCCCACACGGCATCACAGGATGGAACCAGCCCAGGGAGCCACTGCCGCACCCCTGCCGAACCGGGGAAACTGGGACACAGCAACAGCACCCTCTGAGCTGGGCCCCGCCTGCCAGTGTCCCACATGCCCACCACCGGACGGGAGGAGCTCCCCTGCTGTCCTGGGCACCACTTCCAGTTCAAAGCCCCAGATGAGTGTCCTCATTGGCAAAGCCTTATCCAATCTGAGAGCATCAACTTCTGGCCTTTGAAGCTTCAAATATGGGAGTCAGGCTCTGGTCCTCTGTACCCTCAATGCACAAGGTAGGGACTTCCCCAGATGTAAGCAGGGAGTTCAAGAGCTTACAGTTAAGGCAGGAGGAAGACAGATCAAACACATGGTTACAGTTACAGGTCTATGGCCAGTCTTAAACACCACACAGGCAAGCTGCAGTGAGGGGTGGGCCTGAGCTGCCCAGGACACTCGGGAAAGCCTTCCTTAAAAATGTGAACGATTGCAGAGGTGGGGGAGCAGTGTATGCAAAGGGCCTGAGTGTGGCTGGAATTTAGCAAGGAGAGTGTGGCATGAGGACCGGGGGGGTGGAAAAGGGCCACACTGTTAACAGGACCCCAGAGCCAAATCAGAGAGCCATTGCAGAAACGAGCGAAATCAAGGGCCAGACTTGGAGCCGTGCGAGTTCATCCCGTTGCTATAGAAAATGGACTTGATCGAGGGGCCGAGTTGGGAAGTTGCGGCAGCAGGTGGTGCGGGAATGAATGTCACCGTGAACCGGGGTGGCGGCGGCAGGAGAGGGTGGAGGGACCCGAGCGAGGGAAGTGCAGGAGATAACACTGTGAAAGCCTGGTGACTGAGTGTGAAGGGAGGAGAGACATCAAGGCCGAGAAAATGACAGTGAGTACAGAAAGAAGAGAACCAGGCTTGGGAGGGAAACATCCTAAGGCTAGTTAGAACATTCTGGAGTTTAAAATGCTTCCTAGACAGCTGCGTGTACAGAAAAACACTAGTAAACATTTAGCTGGGTGCTGGGCCCCATCCCGCACATGTCTGAGGCTCGGAGGAGACACCTGGCCCGGGGTTTTAAGAGGATCAGGGTGTGAGATGGTATCTGAAGCTGCTGCACAGCTGTGTGAGCAGAGGGGCCTAGGCGGAGCCCCGAGAGGGGCAGCCTTCAGGCAGCGGAGGGAGAACTGGCAAAGGGAACAGGAGGCCGGGGAACAGCCTGCAGTAGGAAAGGGGGCCGCCCGTGTCCCTGGCGGCAGGCGGGAGACTGAAGTCGGCTTTCGGGTTCAGCGGCAGCCAGCCAGTGCCCAGCGTGGGCTGTGACCTTCATCCCATCTGCCGGTCTCCTGCCAAGGACACGTGGTGCTGGAGGAACCTCCAGATTGCCAGTTGGAAGGACGGGTCCCTCGGATCCACCTCTTTCCTGAAATGCCTGGCGTGGTTTTTGAGAAAACAGAGGAGATAGGGATGATATATAAACCTAGAAAGGACCTGAGTTATCACCCATCCCAACCTCTCAAAATTTCACTATTAAGGGAACTTAGCTCTGCACAGACAGAAGTCTCCCCAGAGCAGACAAGCCAGGTAAGGACTTTGAATTTTCCCCAGGACTCTGATCCCCTTGATGCCCTGCTCTGTGAGGGAGGAAACTGGACCAGTCATTTGGCTCCATTACTTCCTAGTTGTGAGACCTTAGGCAAACTGCTTGATTTTTCTAAGCCACAGTAGAATGGGTCTAATAAATTGTTGGCAGGATAAGCGGAGATAATCCATGTAAAGCTAACAGCACAATGTATAGCACCCAATAATTTTTCAGTGTTGGGCTGCTGTTACGATTACTGAGTGCAATTTGTGAATATTAGGTTAATGTTCAAAAGTGTATAAATCACCTGTAATGCCAGTTTCCTTGGAGCAGATATGGTGATATATCCTGTTATATTCTACAGACATAAAAATAGATATGATAACTGTAACTGTCAACCAGCTTGTCTGTAAGTAAAAACGCATAAGTAAACTGGGAAGTAATTCGCAAAAATGACAGTGGTTGTATTAAGGCATTGGGTTATGGGACTTTATTTCCTTAAACCTTATATTTTAACTAAGATACCTGTACATATTCAGTATGTTTATTTTTAAGGGAAAATATGCAAAAAAAAAAAAAACAACCATAGCTCTTGAGATCTGGGTCCTTGTCTGCTCATCTTTGTATTCTCCACAGCTTCTTATACATAGGAGGAACTCACAATTTATTGACTGTTTTAATTGCATGCAGTTCAAAGGTAAATCCTTTTTATTTTGAGGAGGGAAATTTGGGCTCGAGTGGGTATTGATCATATCACTTTGGTTTCCTTTGTAGGATTTTAAACTTGACTTTGGCAATTTCCAAGGCAAAACGAGTCAAAGGTGGCATGGAGGTATAGCCACCATTTTTCAAAGTCCTGGCGATGAAGTGTGGGGAGTAGTATGGAAAATGAACAAAAGCAATTTAAGTTCTCTGGATGAGTAGGTGGATTCTAATTATAAGTTTAAAATGACTAATTCAGAAGTGGCTTCTATGCAAGGATGTGCACACGTGTGTCAGGTTCTCACAGCCATACACTAGGGGCGTGTTCTTGACGCTTCAGTCGACACACACAGCAAGATGATGTGAGTCTGTTCAGAAGTCTGCAAGGGGCACGCTTTCTGATTGAGATTTGAGGGAATGTTGTGCTATCCCACATAAAAGATGAAAGCCCTTATTTTTCAGTTAGTTGTCTGTTATAAGAATTTATCTTTGTAGTGTCATAAAAAACATGGAGATGTTTGTAACAGTTACATATTTTTATTTCAAGAGCAATTTAGTGTTTTTTTTTTTTAAACCCATTCTTTAGGATGGAAGTTGAATGGGTGAGTAAGTAATAATGATTTGTAAAGCATTCACAACACACTGGAAGTGCTCTCATGTTTCTTATAACCACACTCCAGAGCTGTGTGGCACAGCATTCCATTCAAAGAAAGTTGGCCAAACAGCACAGACCTTGAGAAAGGCAGACACCCACGTGGACGGTCCCTGACTTGACTTGTGAACAAGAGGGAGCCACCCTCTGCCTTTGCGGGAGTCAGAACACACTGCCCAGTCTTGCAGTCCAGACAACAGTTTCAGAGACGCAGAGACAGGAAGCAGTACCCTGAAGCGTGTTTTCAGACAGCACGAGCAGAGAGAGACCGGTCCTGGGTCTGCTGACTGCAGCCGCCCCTCCCTGCCTGTCAGGACCGGCGCTGGGACCCCTGTGGACTCCAGAATCCTGACACCCTGGTCCTTCCTATGCAGTGCTGCGTGTCTGCACACAACCGACACACACCCTCCTATGCATACTTCACATCGTCTCTAGTACTTCCAGTACCTAATACAATATGAATGCTATGCAAGCACTTGTAAAAACTGTATTGTTTCAGAAGTAATGGCAAGAAAAAAGACCTGTACGTGTTCAGATACAGATTACTTTTTAATGTTTTCTCTCCACTGTCACACATGTGGTGTTCTCAGTTACAGAGGACTGACTGTACTGAGTTAATTCTCAGACTTTCTGGTTGAAATGCTAAGTTTATTTTAGATAACGTGGTATTTATATGCTGTATATTCCAAAATACCTAGGGAGCAAGCATATGTATATAGTTACATTTTTAATGCTGTACCCAAGTTGATTAAAGCCTTTATGCTGTCAACCAAATTGCCTAAGTCAAATATGGTTGAAACTTGACTCTTCTGGTTCCAGGCAAGAAGGGGTAGAAAGTGGAATCTATGTGGTGATAGAAGTTAAGGTGTCCACTCAAGAAGGGAAAGAGTTAACCTGTCGAAGTTACCTGATGACAAACTATGAGAGCGCACCCCCATCTCCACAGTATAAAAAGGTGAGCCACTCATGGGGTTTGTGGTGATTCTATTTTACTTTGCACTGAGATCAACTAAAGAATGTCTTGTTTTCAATAAGCTTTCTGTGTTTTAAATTCCATGTGGACAATTCATCTTAATCAAAATGGTTTTTTCTTAAAGATTTATTTATTTGAATGGCAGAGTTACAGAGAGAAAACTCTTCTGTCTGCTGGTTCACTCCCCAGATGGCTACAACAAAGCTGGGCCAATCCAAAGCCAGGAGCTTCCTCCAGGTCTCCCGCTGGAGTGCAGGGGCCCAAGGACCTGGGCCATTTCCTACTGCTTTCCCAGGCCAGAGCAGAGAGCTGGATTGGAAGTGGAGCAGCCAGGACTAGAACCAGCGCCTATATGGGATGCTGGCACTGCAGGTGGTGGCTTCAGGCGCTATGCCACAGTGCCGGCTTCTCAAAACGTTTTTAAACACAAAAATGGTAATAACCTAAAGTACAGATTTTAAAACCTGATCTGATTCACATATAATGGTAGAAGTATTTTTTTTGTTTTTGGTAAAGAAAAAGAAAAGCTTTTAGAAAGGTATATGAATCAGGCTGGTGCCACTGCTCACTTGGCTAATCCTCCGCCTGTGGCGCCGGCACCCCAGGTTCTAGTCCCGGTTGCCCCTCTTCCAGTCCAGCTCTCTGCTGTGGCCTGGGAAGGCAGTGGAGGGTGGCCCAAATGCTTGGGCCCTGCACCAGCATGGGAGACCAGGAGGGGGCACCTGGCTCCTGGCGCAGCGCGCTGGCTGTAGCGGCCATTTGGGGGGTGAACCAACGGAAAAGGAAGACCTTTCTCTCTCTCTCACTGTCTAACTCTGCCTGTGGAAAAAAAAAATAAAGAAAGAAACATATATGAATCAGAATTCTAGCCATCCCTTTTCTTTCTCAAAGTCAAAAGGAGCACCTATGAGTGTGTTTTTAATAGGGTGAGTCTATACATATGCTTTTGTTACACTTTATTCCTCCACAAAACAGTATTTTGTGCACACTAAGATTCATTTTTATGGAGAGACATACAGTTACTACTGAAAAGTTTTCCCTCCCTTGATGGAGAAAGCCACACTGTGTTTCAGAGTCATGGAAGTTGCCCCTGAAGGCACAAGACAAGAATGTGGGAGAGAGACCCCAGCATTCCTCTTTAGAAACCCCGGCTTAGGCACTTGTTGGCAGGCCCAGTCGGGAGATGGCACCTGCAGAGAGTAACTCAGGTCCAGGGTCTGGTCTGGGATTTTCTGAAGTGGAGCCTGGCATCAGTCTTGAAAGCACCACAAACACAGCTACCATTTATTCCCACGTCCAATTCAGAACAAGAGCAGACTTCAGGGGGTAGGGATGGTGGCACAGTGGGTTCAGTCACCACTGGGGATGCCCACACGCCACATCAGAGTGCCTGGGATCAAGTTCTGATCCAGCTTCCTACTAAATGTTCCTGGGAGGCTGCAGATGATGGCCCAAGTACATGGGTTCCTGACACACGCATGGGAGGCCTGGATGGAATTAGTTTGCTTCTAGCTGCTGCCTGGTCCAGCCCTGGTTGTGGTAGGCATTTGGAGAGTGAGCCAGCAGATGGAAGATCTCTCTCTGTGTGTCACTCTGCCTTTCAAATAAAATAAATAAATCTTAAAATAAAAAAGAATATACTTCAGGATGGAAACCAAAACTGTTCTAGGAAACTTTAAATTTTTTTGAAGAATGTTTTTCCTTAGCAAATTCTATACAGTTAGATAGATTTTGTCTTAATATAAGAATATCTTAAGTCATATTACTGAGTGAAATTGCTGTCCCATGAGGATACCTCATGGGGCTTTGAAAAGTCCCTGCGGGGCTGGTGCTGTGCATAGCTGGTTGAAGCCCTGGCTTGCAGTGCCAGCATCCCATATGGGCGCCGGTTTGAGTCCCAGCTGCTCTGCTTCCAATCCAGCTTTCTGCTGTACCCTGGGAAAGCAGTAGAAGATGGCCCAAGTCCTCGGGCCCCTGCACCCACACGGGAGACCGGGAAGAAGCTCCTGGCTTCTGGCTTTGGATCAGTGCAGCTCTGGCCATTGTGGCCAGTTGGGGAGTGAACCAATGGATGGAAGACCTCTCTCTTTCTTTCTCTGCCTCTGCCTCTCCTTCTCTCTCTGTAACTCCAACTTTCAAATAAATAAATAAATCTTTTTTTTAAAAAAAAAAAAGAAAGAAAAGTCCCTGCTCACTCATGCTCAGTGTGAGAGGAAGAACCATATCTCAGTTTTCTAGAATCATGTGAAAGGTAATATTTCATCTTTGACAATGCAGATGAAGCTGTGGCATGCTAAACTGAATTATGTTCCTAACTAAAAGGACTGTTCTGTTTGTGTTAACCATTTCTAGGTTGTTTGCATGGGTGCCAAACAAAATGGTTTGCCGCTGGAGTATCAAGAGAAGTTAAATGCAATAGAAGCAAATGACTACAAAGGCAAAGTCTCAGAAGAAATAGAAGACATGCTGCAGAAAGGGGGGACAAAGGCTCAGTAGAACGTACAGTACATCCAGGGACAGCTCTCCCTGTGCCACCAGCAAAGCCTCAGCAGAACGTAACAGTACATCCAGGGACAGCTCTCCATGTGCCACCAGAACACGTCTTCACATTTGAGAGCAGAGATTGGCCTTCTCCACGTTTACTCTGTTTGCAGCAACCCCTTGAAGGGCTATCTCACCTGGGCAATTCCTTCTTTGCAGATTTTAAAGGAGAGTTAGACAGTCAGAGGCCCCGGAGGGCATGACGCCCAGGCGGGACGCTGTCTCCTTCCGCGGACGTGCACAGCTCATCTCTTGACTCGATCTCAGGGTCTTCCCATGTGTGGCCAAGGATGGCTGACGATGGTGCTGGTGACTCACTCTGCTCTGTTGTTCTGGTTTTAGTGGTTTTTTTTTTTTTTGAATCAGCTTGATAAGTAAGTTGCAGAGACAGTTGATAGTAACATTTTGAAAGTTGTAAAGATGGTGTACTGTTCTCAAGAATAAATGCATTGTGGTGTAGCCTGTTCTCCCTGTGAAAGGACTCCATTTTGCTCTGTTGTTAGACTTGAAGCATCACACACACTGGGTGTGGTCTGGGCCTTGTAGATCTGGAGCCAAACTGACCGGGACCGATGGGGAGTTCCACCACTTGCTAAGCACAAGGCTGTAGGATTCTCTGTGCCTCTCCTGTGGGGTGAGGGCAATCAAAGCACCTGTTCCTTAGGATCATCGGGGGGAATTAAAGAACCAAATACACATAAGGAGCTCAGGACAGAGGCTGGCACACAGCAAGTATCTGCAATCCTCTCTGTTCTCTTTGGAGAGGTGAGTTCATGCCGGGCCCTTCTTGGCACAGTACTTTAAACTAGAAGAGTCAAAGCTGTAAAGAGAAAAAACGCATTTTGGGACCCACACTGTGCTTCGTGGCATGTCAAGAAATGAGGAACGTCTTGAATCTGTTTACTGAATAAACCGAGGGAAGAGGAGTCGTGAATGGGGGTCATGGATAGAGAAAACCCCTTGTGTCCCTGTGCAGTGTGGTGAGGACAGGCTGCAGGAGGGTAAAAGAAAGACTTGCTTCTCTTGGGAAAATAACACAAAGGATTTTTCAGGCTACAGCTGCAGTTGTATGGGGAGGCTGCACCACGGGCTACAGGTTAGATAACGTTTTGCAGCTGTCACACTACCTCACTCTTTTCCAGCGTATCCTCCAGTGCTAATGTCCTTGTTTTCACCTAGGTCTTTTATCTTTATATTTGTTTATTTAGTTGAGAGGCAGAGAGAGAGCTCCCATTCTCCAAATGCCTGCGATGACTGAGGTTGGGTGAGGAGCTGGGCCTCAGTCTGGGTCTCACACATAACTGGTAGGGACCCATCACATCTGCATTAGCAGGAAGCTGGAGTTGAGAGCTGGAGCTAGGAGTGGAACTTGGGTATGGCGATACGGATTGTAGTCTTTTTTTTTTCTCTTTTTTTGTCTCTGACAGGCAGAGTTAGACAGTGAGTGAGAGAGAGAGACAAAGAGAAAGGTCTTCCTTTTTCCATTGGTTCACCCCCCAATCCAAAGCCAGGAGCCAGTGCTTCTCCTGGTCTCCCATGCAGGTGCAGGGCCCAAGCACTTGGGCCATCCTTCACTGCCTTCCCGGGCCACAGCAGAGAGCTGGACTGGAAGAGGAGCAACCGGGACAGAATCTGGTGCCCCGACCAGGACTAGAACCTGGTGTGCCTGCGCCGCAAGGCGGAGGATTAGCCTAGTGAGCCATCTTAACACTAGGCCAGACACCTGCTCCTTTCTCCTTGTTCTCAACTACTCCAGAGACAAGTTTGTCCTGAGTCCAGTTATGGTAATGTAGCAAGGCTCGATTTTGCTGTAGATAACTAAAGATTGAGTATTATTCCAATAATCTATCGCACCTAAAGTGACTACTATTATTAAGAAATTCAAAATGCCAACAATACCTTCGTGTGTGGCCTTTTAACAGAAGTCTGGAACCATGAGGAATGCCATTCTGCTGGTTGTGTTTGGGGTAATACTGCCAACTGTCATCTGTGAGGGTTTCCTTTTCCACCAGTGATTTTTGGCCCCATTGCCACAGCACAACCTTTGGAAAGCACTGCTGAGCATGCAGGAGAGGACTCACAGTGTACCAACCCTTCCCCCACAAGAAGAAAGAAGGGAGATAAAGTGTGAGCTGGTCAACAAGTGAGCCCGAGTCCTGGGGCACAAGTGCCAGTCACAGCGCTGGGATCAGACCGTTAACCCCAGAGCACACGTGTGCAGGCCAGGAAAACCACCTGAGAATTCAGGTATGAAACGAGGACCTGTGAAGAAGACCAACATGGTCCCCAGTTTGTAGTCCCAGTGTTCTCCATGAAGGAGAAGAGGAAAAAAAATGTTTAAAAAATTGTTAAAAAGCAAATTTAGAGGCTGATATATGGCACCCCAGGTAAGATGCCCCCTGGGACACCTGCATCCCATGTTCGAGTGCCTGGGTTCCAGTCCTGACTCCACTTCCAGTTCTAGCTTCCCGCTAACATTGCAGTCTGGGAGGTAGCAGATGATGGCTCAGGTACCTAGGTCCCTGCCACCTGCACTGGAGACCTGGACTGTTCCCAGCTCCTGGCCCAGCCCCAGCTGTTACAGGCATTTGGGCAGTGAGCCAGCAGATGGAGGATCTTCATTTCTCCGCCTTTCAAATAACATAAATAATAAATTTAAATTAAAAAAATAGATCCCCAAGGTTTTAAGATACTGAAATCATCACAGAACATAAAATAAGTAAGAAAGGGGACTTGACATACTTTTCCCTAGTCCTCTAGTTAAGTACAACTAATCCCCCTAAATGTTATATATAAAACATCATATTCAAGAGGACTCTGAAAAGTGGCGAGCAGGCAGAGCGGCCAGGGAGCTCAGGATCGAAGGCACAACGTGGTGCTGAGTGTCCTGATTTCCTCTCGGCTCCCACATACCAGAGCTATAGCTGAGGGAGACAACAACCTAATAGCATCAGTGAGTACATGCATGTGTACACAGCCTGCTCTCTAAAGGCCCAGCAAGACAGAAAACTGAGAGAGCAAATCTCTACTCCAGTTGCACCAAGGAAAGAACTGTAGACTCCTGGGGCCGGCGCTGTGGCGCAGTAGGTTTAATCTTCTGCCTGCGATGTCAGTATCCCATATGGGTGCTGGTTCTAGTCCCGGCTACTCCTCTTCCCATCCAGCTCTCTGCTATGACGTGGGAAAGCAGTAGAAGATGACCCAAGTGCTTGGACACCTGCACCCACGTGGGAGACCTGGAAGAAGCTCCTGGCTCCTGGCTTCGGATTGGTGCAGCTCTGGCCATTGCGACCATTTGGGGAATGAACCAGTAGACGGAAGACCTTTCTCTCTGTCTTTCCCTCTGTCTGTAACTCTGCCTTTCAAATAAATAAATAAATAAATCTTTTTTAAAAAATAAAAAGAACTAGACTTCCACCTCCACCCATGGCAGCAAAGACCAAGAGGGAACCTTGACTCCACACTCCACAGCTATGACGTGGCACCTGCCCCACCGTCCCCACCGTCCCCACCAGGTGATGTCAGAAAAGGCCAAGTAGGGGACCTTGGCAGTGACAAACCTCCCTCCTTCTGCCAGTGGAAACCATGTGGGGAGCCTGGACTTAACCCACCATTTGGCAGTAACAGGGCCCCACCCCTCCCTTCTGGGTGGAATTAGGAAGCCGAGTAGAGAGACCTTTCACAGTGGCTCATAGGTAATGATGCTCTCCCAGCCCTTCGCCATGGTATCAGGAGAGGCCATGCAGGGTGCAATACCAAGGCTTTCCTACTCTTCTAGTCAAGGAGGACTCAATGGAGGCCTGGTGGGGAATTGGGAGTCCCAGACCTGCTCAGTAGTAAGGTGCACCCACACCCCCTTGGGTGACAGAAGCTGCATGGGGCCTTGCACTTCTATCCCTTCCAGGCAGGACTCTCTACGCAGCACCCTCACCTTCTGGCTTCAGTGTTAAGTCAGCTAAAATAGAAGATTTTGATAAGACCCAGAGTCCCATAGCAATCTACTAAGTGCCTAGGTTTCAATTGAAAAATCACTTAGTTCAGGAACCAGGAGAAGTCAGCGCTGTGGCATATTGGGTTAAGCCACCGTCTACAGCACCAGCATCCCATGTGGGCAGCAGTTCAGTCCCGGCTGCTCTACTTCCAGCCCAGCTCCCTGCTAGTGTGCCTAGGGAAGCAGTAGAACATGGCCCAAGTACGTGGGCCCCCCGCACATATGTGGGAGACTTGGATGAAGCTCCTGGTTCCTGGCTTCGGCCTGGCCCACCCAGCCCTGGCTATTGCAGCCATCTGGTGAGTGAACCAGTGGATGGAAGATCTCTGTCTTTCCCTCTCTAACTCTGCCTTTTAAATACATAAATAAATATATTTTTTTAAAAAAGAACCAGGATAGTCTCAAATTTAAAAAAGACAACCCATAGATACCAAAACCAAGATGACAGTTACACTTCAATTATCTAAGATTTTAAAGCAGCCAACATAAGAACACTTCAGTGAGCAACAAGGAGCACGTGTGGAACAAATGAACATTGCAGAAAGTCCCAGTAAAGAAAGAGAAGCTATAAAGATCCAAATGGAAACTTTAGCACTGAAAATATAATAAACGAAATTAAAAACTCAACGCATGGTCTCAGGAGCAAAATGAAGAGGAGAGAGGAGCAAATCAATAAGCTAGAAGACAGAACAATAGAAATTACCCAATTTGAAAAACAGAGGAAAAACAGACCTCGAGGGGAAAACCCTCATGGACTCCCAGGGCCCTGCAGGGCTGTAATGGAAGATCAAACGCTTGTGTCACGGGTGTCTCTGTAGGAAAGGGGACATGGTAGGCTGAGAAAGCCAAAAAACAATGGCTACAATGTCCTGAATCTGGTAGAAGAAAGAAAAAGAAGAAAGATTCAGAGAAGTTGAGTCAACCCCAAACATGAACCCAAAAAAATCTGCACCAAAACAAATCAAACATCTCCAAACTAAAGAAAATTCTTGAATGCAGTGAGAAAGCACACCCAGAGAAAAACAATTTGAATGATACCAGATTTCTTATAAACCATGGAGGCCAGAAGAAAGTGGCACATTTTTCTTCCCTTCTTCCCTCTTCCCTCCTTTCTTGCTCCCTCCCTCTCTCCCTCCCTTCCTTCCTTTTTAAGATTTCTTTATTTATTTGAAAGAGTTACAGAGAGAGAGAATCTCCCATCGACTGATTCATGCCCGAAATGGACACGACAGCTGGGGCTGGGCCAGATGGAAGCCAGAAGCCAGAGGTTCCATATGGGTCTCTCATGTAGGTACAGGGGCCCAAGGACTTGGGCCATCCTCTCCTGCTTTCCCAAGTGCATTAGCAGGGAGCTGGATCGGAATTGGAGCAGCCAGACTCAAACCAGTGCCCACATGGGATGCTGGCACTGCATACAGAGGCTTAACCCACTAGGCCAGGACGCCATACCCAAGGGGCACATTCTTCAAGTGACG